TTCCTCAGGTAAATGCTTGGACAATTCCAGGTTTGACTCCCTTCCCTGAAATTGCCTTTTCTTGACTTCCCTTTGTCCTTTATGGGCCGCTACTTGTTGATGCCACTTCCTGTAGTTGAACAGTTGTTCTGGGTCCAAGCGTCTTCTTTTTGATGTCTTCGCTAAATCTCCAAGTCTGTTAAGGGAATACGCGAAATTAGCTCTGACTCTTTCCTCTTCCAATCTCCTGTTCAGCAGATTTCTTTGAAAGAGGATGTCTACATCCTACCTGATCTTCTGTTTCATAGTATTTTCCCCATATGAGGCCAGTATTTCCGTTGCATTTCAGTCAATTATGTGGCTGGTGATGGCCATGCGTTCAGCCATCTTCGATCTTTCCGTATCTATTTTTCGGCATAGTCGTTAGTGTTCTTTAACCCTTGTGGGGATTGTTCTTCCTGTCTTTCCTATGCATTTTTGTTTATAGTCCTTTCAGTTTATGCCATAAACTCCAGAACACTCCTTTTTGTTGACTTCTTCATGTTGGTTAGGCAAACTGGTGAAGAGAGTTGTCCTTTCCTTCAGGATTGTACGAACGTTCTATTTCCATAGTATAGACCGTAACTTCCAAGCCAATTCATAAGAGAGTAGACAGATCCATTATATTTCCTCTACCTCTCTTGCTTTCCTTTCATAATCTCCGTCCTTCCATCTGTTCATCACTATTCGTATTTTACGTTGCATTGCTTTTTCTGGATATCCGTTTCCAAGAAACATCTGAGTTAGTTTTTTACAGTTCTTCTTCCCAGAATTCAGAATCCGTGAGTCGTGGGCTTCTTATGGTCATATTCCGGAGTATTCCAATCTTCATTCCATAAGTATGGTTAGACTAGAAGTTAAGAGTTATTCCAGAATGCGATTTTTTTCGGAAAATCTGTTTCTTGAGTCTCCTCTGAGAAAATGACCTCTACATCCAAGAAAGGTAAGTGTTCGCTCTCTTCTAAATAACCGGTAAATTTGAACCTTTAACCCATTACATTTATGAAGATCAGAATATCGTATAATTTTTCTTTTCCATGCGACCAGATTGCGAAGAGGCCATGCAAATATCGCATAATTACTGTTGGCTGCTGAAGTAAAGTATTGAAATTCTCCTCCAACTTCTCAATGTAGACAACAGAAATGAGAGTGGTGAGTCTATAGGCAGACCAAATATTTGCCCATATATTTCGTTTGGGAATGTACCAAGTCAATAGTCCGATGCTGAAAATCACGAATACTATGGCAGAGGACACAGGACTAGGTACATTCCACAGGGTCCACGAGACCCTGTGGACCACGAGACCCAACAAACAGTATAAAGCTAAAGGAAACTGCGACCAGACAGAAAGCCACATCATCTTGGTCGTCATAGCTACAATCAAGAATACTCTTTGTGAATAATTTTTTTCGGAATCAGATACCTTAACTAAGTTTTCACTACCAGAATAGTTTAAAGGAAATATTCTCATCAAAAATAGCTCAGCCCTGCTTAATGTGCATAGGAAATTATATCAAGTATTTCACGATGGATAGTTAATCCGCAAAAATAAAATAAAGCAGTGCGGCATGGATTAACAGTAAATATGCATAAAATATTAGAATACCTATAGTAGCATGAATGAGGTGAAGCCTGGTCCATCAAGCCCATCAGTAAATAAGATAAAGCCGGAATAAGTATAAGGACATCCATTCATGGCAAGGAAAGTGAAAAGGAGAAATTAAGGCTTACAATTGACCTACCAGGCAACAAAACAGGCATGCCAAGAAATGGCATAGACATTCCGAAACCCGATGCCGGAAAAGGGTTTGGCGCCATTGGTCCCGGTAAATAAGGGAAAGGGGCGCCTGGCGCTGACATCATGAAGGGTGGGGCACCAAAAGAACTGCCTCCTGTACTGCCTGAAGTCACGTTAGGAGTGGGAACAGATGCAGGAGTCGCAGTAGGCGCAGAACTAGCCTGGCCAGACATCTGGTGGAACCAGGCGGAATAAGCTTGCTGGTAAGAAATAAAAAAATGTGGGGAAAAATATGTTACACTTAAAAGATTTGCTGCTAAAACTGCAACGAAGATCGCCGTGAATACACTGAAACGTTTTTTAATGTGGATACTTAATGCATACTTCCCGTGTCATCCCAGGGAAAATATATTTCCATCCAGATGGTGAGCTATAATTTGCAGATTTCGAGTACAACCTAAGAATTCATTCATTCCATTATTATATAGAACTGTTGCATGCATTTACTTATGTTGACTATTAAATACTCTAGCGGTAAATTGACGAAGATAAAAGTATGAAGCTTTATCCTAATAAAAGGTCCATAGTATAATTTTTTATTATACAAAGGTCAA